TAACAGGCAAATCCTGGGTTTATCGAGGGGCACTTGGGTGTGTGAAATGTGTCTTCAAAAAATTTTTTTTGCAAGGCTATAGATTGCCTGAATGAGCAGAACAGCCTTTGAAACAATGAAATTTACAAAAAAATCCAGTGATTCTGAAAAAAAAAGAAAGCTATTCAAGATTTTTTAAAAATGGGGGGAAAACCCTGTAAAACAATTTAAGTTTCACAATTTAATAGTAAATGTTTTGTGAAATTTGAGATAGATTTTGGGACGGACGGATGGACGGATAGATGGACAGATGGAATTAGCAAGACGATTTAAATGCTAAATGGAGCAAGAGACAGATTTGATATAGATAGATTTTGAGACAGACGGACAGACAGACATATAGACAGATAGATAGATAGACAGATAGATGGAATTAGCAAGACAATTTAAATGCTAAATGGAGGGCAAAATATAAACTTAAGAAGTGTTTTGCTTATTCACATTACATTCTAACAACCTAGGCTCTCTTCACTTCTGATAGGTTAAATTTCTTGAACCACAATGACATCACTTCTTACAGGTCTAATGCTTTGCTGTCTCACTGAAAAGAAGCAGCGCTTCAGGGTTTATCCTTTATAGTAATCCATTACAAAGGCCTTTCAAGTCAGTCAATGAGGTCAGGCAAAGGGTCATAAATCTCATTGACCGTGCCCAGTTGTTATAAGGTCACATGTCTGTTAGGCAGTGTAAATCAACCCAAACTGATTAGCAGGTTGGCCACTTGAGCTCTAAGAACTGAACAGCTGAACAACCAAACAAGTGGTCAAGATATATTAAAAGGAATATCAAATGGCCCTCATGATTACAGCAATATAAATAGCTGCTGAAACATGTGACTAGGCAGTCTGATCAATAAACTACAATAGAACATAATGAACTCTACCAGGCTAACGGGAATTGAAATCAAACTGAATCAAATTCAGTTCGGTTGGATTACAAAAGGTTCCCGAAGCTTTCAGTCATCCACCGTCTGATCCAGCTGGGCCTGACAGGGTTGAGGGAATACACAGAGGATTTAAAAAAAAAAAAAAGATTGATGATCACCAATGCCTCCGTTGCAATTCCAAAACGTGTACGTGTTATCTTATTGTTTACTACATTTATTTGCTTTGTCAGTGTCATTGTTGTTTTTTTTGCTGTTGTAGGCTGTAAGGACCTTTGAAATAACTGAAATCATTTGGCGAAACGATATGGATATGTAATAAAGTCGAGATCTGCCTGGAACTACTTTAGCACTGCGTTTCCCTGAAAATAATTCGTCAGCCAATCAGACTCAAGAATTCAACAGGCCTGTAAAATATAAATAAATTTAAACGAACCCAAACTTTTAAATGGTTGCATACAAAAGCAGCTTGTGACTATGGGACTAAAATCATTCATGCCTTTCCCTCTTTATCAGTGACGTCATGTATTGACACGTCCTTTCCGTCCTCTGTAAATCATATTACACACCAATCATTTGACCCACATTCTAATCAAAGTCAGTGATATGAACTCTCTAATTATGAGACGTCTCATTATCCCCTCAGTGCTGATGAGAGCCACGAAAAGCGCTCTGTTAGAAACGTCAATCCCACTGCTCCAGGGAGTGCATGACTGGAGAGAGTGAGCTGACACGGCCGCGGGTCCTCGCTCATGGCGGCTGTACAGTGACACGGTTAGTGATGGTCAGACACATTTGCACACAGACCTGATTAAACAGTCAGAGCATCAGAATGCCACATGACATGAAACACGGGGCCTCATGTCAGCGCTAGTCAGATCAAATGGATTAAGGACAGAAAATCATCAGCTCTGCAGAGATTCATGTGTGTTGTTTGAATGTATGCTTTCTTCAGTGTCTGCAGTGTCACTGCAGTACGTGTCCCAGGTCTTGATCACTGCATTAACAATGACTGGGATTTCATATTGCATCACCTGAAGCATGAGTACTACTAAAGGTGATACCTTCTCCCATCTAAACTTATTAGTTCACCCAAAAATTGAACATTTAATTTCTTATTTGTGCATCCTTGTTTCCTTTCCTTGTGTCTTAGCTCCACCACCCTTAGGATGCAAGAGAAGGATGTAAGGAAAGAAAATTAGGATGGAGGAATCAAAACTTTTTTGGTATATTGGAATATTTTTGATCACTCCAGTGTCACTTCAAAGCATCATCAGCTGCGCTCAAGGGATCTACCCTTAAAGGGATATTTCACCTAAAAAGTTTCATTACTCACCCTTATGTCCCAAACCCATAAGACCTTTGTTCATCTTTAGAACACAAATTAAAGGTTGATGAAATCCGAGAGCTTTCTGACCCCGCATAGACAGCAAAGCAACTACCACATTCAAGGCCAAGAAGGACATCGTTAAAATATTCCATGAGACATCAGTGGTTCAACCATAAATTTATGAAGCTATAAGAATACTTTTCATTTTCACATGCATCGTGGTACTCTAATGAACGACTGACACAGAAGAGAAGAAATTGTTGAATAAAGTTAAATAAAACATTTTTTTGCACACAAAGTACTCCGTAGCTTTAAGATTGAATCACTGATGTCACATGGACTATTATTATTCAATAACTATGATATCAAATATGATAAAAAAAAAAAGATGAAAAATGTCAAAATCCCTGTTAGCCCTTCGGGCAGGTACTCTTCAAATTTTCGTAGCCCTAAAAAAATTTTAACTAGCCCAAATAAAAAAAGACCTTTTTTTAAAAAAAAAGAAAGAAAATCAGATAGGAGTTTAAATGTCAATCAAAAATATTTTCAATACACAAACATCAACAAAAATGAAGGAAGGAATTTTATTTCACTATTTACAGGGTATCTGCAGAATTTTTAAAAATAAATGTAAGGCAATGTATGACCCCTTTTAAGAGCTGCACAAGTAAAATGAACAGTATGAGTGGGGTTGGACAATGTCTGTGGTAACATACAGTACTGAACCATGAAATTGCATGATTTACAGTTCAGATACAGGTTTTTACTAAAACAAAAATCGTATACAACAGCATTTGAGCCTTTAGACCATTTTTATGAAAAGGGATAAATCAAGCATATAAATTATGTTAATTTACAACGTATAAATATTACTCTTAATTGTTTAGATTTTTAGAAGGCACATTAACTTCTCTCATTTACATCTCTATGGGTATGCTGCGTACACACATGAGCTGATATTTGCATCGATCTGACCATAAACAGCAAGAAAGGCTTATTGGAAATGCAAATTCATTCTCTGCCACGAGGTGACGCTTTAGAAGCGCTGAAATATTGCACAGTTCTGTTGTATTCCATGTCCACCCACCACATGCACAAACAACACAATGCAACAAGGAAATGGTCATGAATTCAAAAGTGAAACCTGCACTTTTTTTGCATTAAACTTAAAAATATCTGATACTTCTTGATCCCAAACGATCTCTGAATCTCAACTCAAATCCTCATCCTAAGGTAACACATTCTGGCTTTCAGTGAAAACGCTGTGTTAGTAAATACAGAGCTTGGCTGAGCTGACTGCTGAACAATAAGTGTAACACTATAGTTGCTCTGGCAGACTCACAGCACTGCGGAATGGCCTAATCACCATGGCATTCTGCTGCTGCTGCCAATCAGAGCCAAGCAAGTAGGGGGACAAACTTCCTTCCGAGTCCATTCATACCACAAAAGCCACCTGCTGTGCCTGTCAAAGGCTGGAGCAAAGGGTGAGGGAGGACAGAAAAAGATGGACATGAGGGATGTATAGACCCATAACCACCATAGTCAACCCCCTTCTACCCCTGCCAGAATCATGAATATACATAGATACATCTTTAGCATAGACAGAGATTTAACCAATGCATTTGTAGTCTATGTAATACTACTTTTAGCCCAGTCAAAATAACATCCTGCTCTGCATATTAGTTCATAATAGTACAGAAATAGCATCACTGATCACTGTCATTCTACGTCCACAGGCTAAAATTCCTTGTCTTATAATATTTACATGGTCTTCCCAGTGAGTGAGTGTGTGTGTGTGTGTGTGTGTGTGTGTGTGTGTGTGTATAAAAGGTAATAAAGGGACATAGACAGTTCCTGAACAGAGAGTGGGAAACTTCTAAATGAAACCAAGCTAATCATCTTTGTGGCATATTGGTTAAACCGGGGATTTTCTGGTTTTGGTGAAAAATTCAACAGAATCTTTACTGTAATTTCTGTCAGGGTTGTCAATAATTCTTGTTGATCTGGAGTATAAAATCAGCATATTAGGATGATTTCTGAAGGATCATGTGGCACTGTAGACTGAAGTAATGGCTGCTGAAAATTCAGCTTTTGCATCGCAAGAATTAGCCTACATTTGGAAATATTGCAATATAAAACAATATATTACAATATAAAATATCTATTTAAAATTGTAATAATATTTAACTAGCCTACATTACTGGTTTACTTTATTAAATAAACAATCTTGGTGAACATAAGACACTTTCAAAAATATTACAGTAAAATAAAGTTAAATACAAAAGTGATATGATTTTTTTTATAACATTGCATAGAGAGAGAAGTTCTGAAGTCTGTTTTGCTATATTTGTCTTTTAAATGATTAAATTACTATTATATAGAAGTGTGATTTTCAAGTTTTGCTGTGGTATCAAAATTGGTTTTGCAATTTTGCAATGATTAGGGTCATTGTAACGAGTCCGATATCTTCATATCATATTTGGGGGTCCTTGCCATTTACAAGTTTGAAGACCCACAACCCACAAAAGGGCCATGACCTGCATGAGTGGTAGTAACATTTAGTATACAGAAGACAGGATCAAAAGGAAACAGATCAGAGAGCTGAAGATGGCATCCTTCCCTTCACTCAGAGTCAAGTCAGCATCAGGCAGTGGGGCAGAGGTAGTGCCCACAGAAGGATTACTAAAGGAGGATTAATCAGGCGCTTGCGCACGCACGAACTCGGTTTTGTTATGACATCCTTTCATAAATTATTCACTGTAAACAACCGAAGATGGTGTGAAATGCCCGGATGTTGAGAGTACCTACAAACTGGAGTGGATGGTTAACTGCAAGAACTACAACACACTGGAGAAGAGGTCTATTGTTAAGATTGCACAACTGATCACGAGTCCCTCTCAAACGTCCTTAAAATCTGAAATTGTATAAAGACTTAATGGCGGAAAGTTAGCCTAAGTTACATAGTTTACTGATAAAGAATTACACTATATCAAAGCGAGTCGTTCACACACTGGTCCAAAGTATGGATCACCCCATGTTCCCTGTGGCGTGTATGTAAACTACAGGCCTGCATTGTGGACATCTGTCAACAAAATCCTCATAAACAGACAGAAATGCGAGTTTACACGAGTTTCAAAGTACTGGCGTTCACAATAACGTCCGATTAATTGCGAACGGGACGATTACAGCGTTTCCTCGGAAACCTACGGTTCAGGTGGGAACTTTAAGGAGCCACGTTTCATTCTCGGTCTCTGTCGAAGCGAACACGGTAACGTTAACGTTAGTCGGGCGGCTACGAAACTTCTTTCGAGAAATACAACTAGTTTTGGGACAAGAACGCGTCTGCCGCAGAGATTTGTATTCAGGTTAGGAGAAAACACAGAACTAAGCGCCCACTGTTGTTTTCAAGCACAATCACACACTCGTTTCACACAAACTCAAAGGCGAGAGGAGACTAGGCCATTTGACTACACTTTCACGAAATGAACCGAATCGTTTTTCTTACCTTTGCCGAATCGGTTCTTTTTTCTTGAGGTTACATACGCCTTCCGACCGCTTCGTCAGTAACGTTAAATGTTTCAGTGTTGCACTCAAACTGGTATTGTTGTGTTCAACTTGAAAATCACAGTCTGTCCCATTCCTTTGCCATGTAACACCTCACGAGACGTGATTAATAAATGCTGTGCCCAATAGAGGGAAAATCCGTGATAGATATTATTAATCCAGTCACGTTACTTGGTTTTGTTCTTGTGTTGCAGTAAAAGGAAAAGAGTAACAGTGACCAATCCTAGCAAACAGAAACCTTTAAACCGGAACCGGTAGAGATTATGCGGCTATGCTACATAACAAAAGACAAGCTCTAGGAATAGTGGATGGACTCCCGCAGATGTTCCCCCTCCCTCCGCTCTGAATTGGTTTAACTTGCAGCAACGCATCCCACAATATGGCCGCCGCAGGGAATGGTGAACGGAAAGAAATCACAGTCTCTCAGTTGGCAAGTAGAGGAAAGACGATGAGCCGGTGATATTTTAAGCATAATAGCACTGCAGGTCGCCTTTGTATTACGCAAACCTAAGTAATAAACACTAGACGGCTCGTAGTGTACGGTGTTTAGATCAGTCTTATGGCGCCATCTGCCTGTGGACTTAAATCACTGCAGCTTCCTAGCATTCGTTTACGTTTAGTGGTGAGCCTACATCCTGGGCACATTTCACGGATACATTGCACTGGTGTCCAGTGATGTTTTAAAATATTTGAAGCACAAATCAAATTAGATATGCTTGGTAATCACTTGGCTAATATAAAATGAACCATTCATGAAATATATGACACCCAAGGAGTAACATAATTTGCCAAATATAGATACTATACTCCCATTATACTATTTAGAAAAAAGCCAAAATAAAGTTAAAATGAGTGAGCCTACATCCTGGGCACATTTCACGGATACATTGCACTGGTGTCCAGTGATGTTTTAAAATATTTGAAGCACAAATCAAATTAGATATGCTTGGTAATCACTTGGCTAATATAAAATGAACCATTCATGAAATATATGACACCCAAGGAGTAACATAATTAGCCAAATATAGATACTATACTCCCATTATACTATTTAGAAAAAAGCCAAAATAAAGTTAAAATGGCAAGTTTTAAAATGAATACTTCTAACACATATGGTGAACAGTAAAAAAAAAAAAGTTCTGGTCATTAAAATACAAAATTTGGTATTACATCGGGGGTGGACTTAAAGGCTTGAACTTGGTCCTTCTGCCCCATGAACACACTATAAAAAAAAATACGGTAAAAAAACGGCAGCTGTGGTTGCCGGAATTTTACCGTAAAAAATACGGTAGCAACGTTTTAGGTTTTACGGTTTTAACTTAAATTTACAGTTAAATACCTTCATTTGATATAATATTAATATACCAACCTATTGAAGTACTGAAATCTGTTTTGTACCTTTGTAATACACTGATAACCACCAAATGCAGGTGGTGATGAGAAAGTCACATGATGAACCAAAGCCCATCACAAGCAGCTTTAAATAATAACATATATAGAAGGTGCACAGTGTCATTCATACAAACACCGAACACCATCATGGTAACACACATGAAACTGAAATAATGCAATAAACATTCATTTAACAACATTAGGTGTAACACACAGCCCTAATATACAAAACTGATAAGAAAAAACTAAGAAGAAACATAGTTATTTCAACAAAAAAACATCAAATTTTAAATGTAACGCAGGGAATTCTGGGAATGTCAATTTATGGTTATTCACTGTAAATTATACGGTATTTTTCACTTCCAAAAACAGTATACTACCGTAAAATTGATGTCCAATACATGTAATGTCCAATACAGTTTTTCACCATATATAGTAGGGGAATTTACCGTTAACCATTTAACAGGCTTTTACTGTAGCATTTTTACAGTCTTTTACCGTTAAATTCACGGTCATTTTTTACAGTGCAGGCAAGGCAATGCTGACACCAAAATAGAAATATTCACGATTCTGCTTAGCTAAAAATTTTAAATTATATTAGACACAGATACTTACACTCTGTCCATGACATAAGCATATATGATGGTTATGTAGGCTGTTTTAAATAAAAATAAATAAATAATTAAATTGAATAATTAATTGTTAATTTATTTATATAAATAATAAAACATGGAAGCTCAAATGTGTGACCTTTTGCGTTTCCCATATTTGTTGTGACATTACTATATTTGATTTTTAAACTTTTATTTTAGGTCAACTATAACCAATATACATATTGTCACTATACGTTATATATATTGTTGCATTTTTGTATTGCGATATATATTGTGACACAATATATTTTTACATCCCTAATATGTGACCATGTGAATCCATTTTTTTGAAATTGAGATTTATACATCATCTCAAAGCTGAATAATAAATGCTTTCCATTGATGTATGGTTTGTTAGGATAGGACAATATTTGGCTGAGATACAACTATTTGAATATCTGGAATCTGAGGCTGCAAAAAAAATCTAAATATTGACAAAATCGCCTTTAAAGTTGTCCAAATGAAGTCCTTAGCAATGCATATTACTAATCAAAAATTAAGTTTTGATATATTTAAGGTAGGAAATTTACAAAATAACGGATGAGACGTTAAACCGAGGTCCTGACTCTCTGTGGTCATTAAAAATCCCAGGGCCAAATTCGCCCATTGGCCTCTGACCATCATGGCCTCCTAACCATCCCCATATCTGCTGATTGTCTTCATCACTCTGTCTCCTCTCCACCAATAAGCTGGTGTGTGATGGGCGTTCTGGCGCAATATGGCTGCCGTCGCATCATCCAGGTGGATGCTGCACACAGGTGGTGGATGAGGAGATTCCCCCCTTCTATGTACAGCGCTTTGAGTACCCAGAAAAGCGCTATATAAACGTAAGGAATTATTATTATTATTATCTTTACTTAATATCCAAATGATTTTTGGCATAAAAGAAAAATTGATAACTTTGACCCATACATTGTATTGTTGGCTATTGTTACAAATATACCCGTGCGACTTAAGACTGGTTTTGTGGTCTAGGGTCACATTATTATTGCAAAAACAACAGCTCACATTAAATGTAATTTGACCAAAACTCTTAAATATAATCAGATCACTCCACTGGTAAATACTGACTTCAAGTGGAGTTTGATCGCACTACAGTTGACTGTCCTACACTAAAGTAAACCAAGGCTCTGCATAACTGTTGCATTTATTATATTATTTTTTTAAATGTAACTTTTGTTTACATACTTATGTGCATATTGTCGTATTCTGTAGGCCTTTATGCTGTATGTGGATATGCACATATTTACTACTGTAACCAACCAACATATTTTGATAAACTCTATCATATCCCTGCTTAAAAAACTGCACGCTAGCACCTGAAGACACGGCATAATAGTCTAATGATATATTATGCATCAGTTGTAAAATGTATGTATATGTAAATTAGTAATTTCCAAAAATTAAAAATTCTTGTTTTTAATTTTTGAAGCCGTTTTAAGTTAGGTTTCTTGCATGCTGTAGGCGTGCTTATATATGCGTCATAGAGAGGTCATGTTCATCCACAAGGGAAACCATAAACCACCAGTTGGAAATTGAAAGTACCACAGTATGTAGTGACACAGGAGACGAATGTGTGACGAAACAACGACTTCCTCCCACTGTAATTCAGGACATCAATACTTGCACTCAAGTTGACAAATGTACCTTAATCTCATTGGTTACAGCAGGATACCCAGAGGAAGCAGCTTAATAGCTTTACTGTAAATAATTCCTCCTCTTGACTCATACACAGTCAGTAATAGCACGTTTTCATTTACTTAAAGAAGTTTGTGTTTGTCTCTTTTTACAGCAAGTATGGGTTTGTGAACCGAGAACACATATATTTTTAACAATTATGAAAATAATAGGTCTACTGATATGCATGCTGCATAGGCCTACATACATAAATATGCCTGAATGAATGAATGAATGAATGAGTGAGTGAATGCTGTAACTTGGGTGGACAAATGAACAGGTGAAAGGCAAGTTAAAACGCCATTCATGATGCTGCGAGTTATTGGGTCGCCTAACCCCCATTTAGATTCAACCAAACCCAAACTAAGTAAAATTATGTGTAGGCTACTATTTCTGTACTATTATGCAAGTAAAGGCAATACATATATAGCTACATTTCATCAAAGTTTCAATAACCACAACTTTCAACAGCTTTTTCAAAAAACGTTCTGGTATCACAAAAGTTAAAGTCTCGCGAACATAAGTTGCGTGGTAACTATAGCAACAGTACGTTCCCGAGCGATACAGGATGCGCATAAACAAAAGTCCTTATTGATGACTTTATATAGAGCGTTTGGATAAAACGGTTTAATTACAGCCTAGTTTATTTACAAAAGTCTAACAAAAAATATCTAATTAGTCTTCAAGCCGCTTACAGGTGACCGTGCACCTCTGAAACCAACCAACGTTTTCATATGTAATTTCAAATCTGAAACACATGGGGGCAGAATTGAGGTAAGAACGGACCTGAGGTGATAGGTAACCAAGGCGCGGATTCATTGTTCAACTAAATCACGCTCTGTGTACAGAATGAGTGAGTAGTATACTTACGAAGCGGTGACTTATAGTTTCGACATATGACGTCAGAGTTCACTAATCGTAATCATGAATGAATTCATAAATCCACCGGTGCACGACTGCAGGCTTCGCCATCTGTGTGCGGACAGGCCAGTAAATGCATCAGGGACCCAGTTTGCTCATAGTAGGCTACCATAACAAAATCACGTATTTTGACTGACTAATAACGTTTTGCTTTTTGGAGTGATATAACGAAAAACGAACGAGAGTTTATATTGAAGTTATAAGTGGAACATAGCTAGGTGGGCTTATCATTCGAAAAACATTTCAGACGCACCAAAAAAAGGCCATGACGCATAGGAGACTAAAATAGACTAATATGTCTTTTATTGATTGCAAAAAAAAATTAAAAAGAGAGAGAGAGAGATACATTTCATCCAGCCTATAAATATAGCTTAAGTTAATAAAAAAAGTTTGCGCTATTTTTATTCACAATGAAATTTCAGTACCCCATTGCTGGACAGCGCTCAACTCGTGACCCTGTGACAAATGTGGCGTTTCTGAACTTGGCTCTTTTTGTTGTCGTGTCCACCCGCTATTGTCCCATCACTGCTCAGCCCCACAGTGCGTAAGTGTCTGTATGGAGTGAGTGATGTGGTTTGGGACCTCGAGACAACCCACGGACTGGTGAGCCTAATTGGCAGTCACATTGTCACGTCAAGTTGAAAAAAAGTTGCAAATTGTCCTTTTTTTTCCCCGAAATTACGTTTAGAGGAAAGTTCCATTTGAGGTGTATGACTCGTTCGTCGATGAGGAAGGAACTGTACTATTATATCCCGGGAGGAAGGGTTGATGACGTCTGTGGCATACTTAATGTGACTTATTGAAAAAAAGGCAAGACTCCCTATTCATGGATAAAAATCCGAGGTAATCGGAGCACAGCAGAAAAAGTTTTGCGAAAGGATATGTAGACAAAAGAGTGCTGCTGATTTCACCGAGGTTTTGTTTGGAAAAGTGATTTTGTTTATATTGGTTATTGTATAAAAGTGCAGGGGTTGAACCGACGAGCACATAAGCAAAGGACGGTGGCGCTTCAGGGAAGAGGTGCTGTGAGGAAGATCTCTATCTCTCTCACACAATCACAGCCGCACCCGAGTCGCATCCAACAGCATTTCTATCTACCTACTCTGCAATAGGTAGGTTCAAATCCGGCAAAGACGTTTTTATTCGGTTTAAGCCAAGGAATTATGATACGAAGACGCTCAGGCAACTGGATTTTGCTTTTCTAAAGATTATCTACCGGTTTTATCGTTTGCCTCATCGGGAGAAGGATTCTGTTGCGCATGCATGGCATTCTTTAAACTTTTCAAATTCCATCTCATGAGCGGGAAATATGAGTAAAAAAGTAAAAAAGCTTTCTTAGCAAAAGTTATTTGCGCATTACTTGTATCGAATATAGCCTAATACAGCCCTACCCAGGCGTCCGATGCATTTGTAAATTTACCGGGACTGTATCGCGGCTAGTCTATAAGTGTTTTATATGTTTACGTTATTTATTTAACTTTCTTCTATCTTTACAGCATGGCCAGATCTAGTAAAGCGACTTTAGCTTTGCTCATCTACGGAATCATGATGCACTACAGCGCCTACTGCACGCCTATTGGGATGACTTTTCCCAAGATGAGGTATGTATAAGCTTTTCTGCTCAACGTTTTGGGGTTTTCTTTCATGATGAAACGGACTATATTCTGCAACGAGCTTGATTTTACAGTCTAAACAGTCTAGAATTTAATCATCTTGTCGAAGCGCAGACAAAAAAAAAAACGGATAAGGATTTGATCTTTATTTTTTGGCTACTATAGAGTGGAAAAAGGATTGGCTTTGTTGTATTATTCTGTAGACTTCAATCAGTAACAGCCCAACGAGATTTCCCCCCGAGTGTTTACGCAAGGCTACAGTGCAAGCGCAATGTGGGAGGGCGTTCGTGTCGCTAAGAAGGAATTTCTCCATCGGGACAGGCAGATGCAGTGTAGCTTGTATGAACATGAGAAACCAATGAATGTAACGGGTGGCCCGTATAAGATGACGGTACAGTGGCGTCACTGTACAAACCGAAGAAAAAACGAATGAGATGCTCAGTGCGGGACCTTTTGTTGTGTTAATTTACTGATTATTATAAGATTACAATGTCAGTTATATTTGGGTACGTTTCACAAGTCACCATCAAATCTCATTATAGAGCACATATGGCCAAATATAGCAAGCTTCATCATAATTTGCTTTAAAAAAAAACAGCGACGAAACGCTTAGAAATAAGATTATTATTGTCCCATTTACCCTAAAAAGATAACACAATAATAAGACAGTTCGATTCATGAACCTGCTTCGAGCATGACGCATTTATCATCTCACAGTGTAGCCTATTTTATTTATTTTGTTCTCAAAACAACTGTATCATTTCCGGCAGAATTAATTTAGCGATTTATTTAGACTTTCTTTCAAACGCTGTTTTTTTTATCGACACCATATAACTCTGGTGATTAATTTTTGATTTAATAAATGCATCAATCAATTTTTTTTCCAGACTAGACAACGATGTATTTGACGAAGACGGAAACTCGTTAAGCGACCTGGCTTTTGGGACTGATCAAATTGCTATACGAAGTCCTCCCTCTCTCACGGATGACCTGTACACGCTATACTATCCGCCAGAGAAAAGGTACATTATTTCACATCACATAACTGTATGTCATATGAGAATCGATGTCATTATGTTTAGATTGTTGTTCCGCTATGTTTGTTCCTTTTTGTTTCCCAGCTTTTTTCCTTTGCTTTTTTCTGTTATTGTTGCTGTTGATAGTTGCATCAAGTGACTATTTAAAATAGATGATAGATAGATAGATAGATAGAGCGAGAGAGAGAGAGAGAGAGACGGATCGATTGACAGATTTACTAGGGGAATCGAAAGTAACCCTATTACGCGTTTAGCCGACAGAAGAATACAACTAGCTTGCAACAAACGTGTTCTGTGGTATTTCATCACTGATATTATGTGTTTGGCGTTTTATCTCAGAACGGAAAGGCATGCAGATGGATTATTAGATAGAGCCTTGAGGGACATCCTGGTTCAGTTATCAGCACGAAAAGATCTGCATTCTCTGATGGCAGTTCGCGTAGGGTAAGGGCAATTTTTTAGCGTTTACCTGCCGTCATCGTTGTTTTCCCCTTTTTCATTTCAGTGGAGGTGATTTCTCGTTGTCCTGTCTTGACTCTCTCGTCTTTATTTTTTCCCGACTTCTTGTGTCTTTGTCTGTGGGCTCGCATGGGCGTGGAATTTCATGGGGAACTATTCGTAGATGAAACCCGATCAATTAAAAGTGATGTTAATTGCTTGTGCTAAGACGAAAATGGTGTATATTGTCAAAGGAAAAAATGCCGAGAGACAATGCGTCAGAATACATTTCAGTTCCAACATGCATAATTTATGAGGCTTGTCTGCTGGATCTTCTTTCGATTTCTGATATAATTCGTTGTAATGCTAACGAAAAAAATGAGCTCAAGATGATTTATTATTGAACAATGGAATAAAAAATCAGTTTGGATCATCAAGAGCGTTTATGCTGTACTGAAACCTGTTAACATATTTTCTGTGCCAGCCGGTAGCCTAATAATAGTTCATATATTTGCATGGTAAACTTAAGGTCAACTAAGTGTTCTCAACTCAACTGTGCAATTTTGGGACACCATGAATATGAACTAAAATGCGCTTTTAACGTACCATCTCTGTATTTAAAAAAATGTATTTAGTTACCACTTGTAGTACACTTGAACCTATCTTTCATACACTAGCACACTCAAGTGAACTACAAGTGGTGACTAAATACAAATTTTTAAATACAGAGATAGTATGTTAAAAACGCATTTTAGTTCATATTCATGGTGTCCCAAAATAGCACAGTTGAGTACACTTAGTTGACCTTAAGTTTATCTCAAGAAGTACTAAAGAATAATTTTTAGTATATTAAGTACAAAATTAGTGCGTGAAAATAGAGCACTTTAAGTACATTATGGAAGTGTACTTTTTTTAAGCCGGGTCTTTTTCAGCAAGCATGAAATATTTGATGTCCCCAAAGGCTGCATTTATTTGATGAAAAATGAAATAAAACAGTAACGTTGTGAAAAATTATTACAATTTAATATAACTATTATCTATTTTAATATATTTGAAAATGGCATTTATTCCTGCTATTGCAAAGCTCAATTATCAGCAGCTATTACTCCAGTCTTCAGTGTCACATGATCCTTCAGAAATTATTCTACTATGCTGATTTGCTGCTCAAGAAACATTTATTATTATTATATTGTGCTCTTTGGCAGAAAACAGTTGAGCTGATTAGTATTTATGTGGAAATTCTGACACATCTTAAAAAGGTTCTTAAGTTCAAATGAACAGCATTTATTTAAAATAAAAATCTTTCGTAACACTGTAAATGACTTGTGATCAATTGAATGCTTCAATACTTCAAAGAAGTATTAATTTCTTTAAAAAGATGGATGGATGGATAGATGATACAGCTCTCAGAGATCAATGTTTTTACTTGCAGTTTTCTACGTATAACGCCAACTTTATATTCATCCATCATGCATCTTCCAGAGCATTAAATCATCTGGTGCTAAAGAAGCTACCATAAAGGACAAACCTTCTGTGTCTACAACTTATTGCTCTAGGAGATGAAAGGGTGTAGTTCATCTTTTTTTTTTTTTTTTTCAGATACCACCCCAAGAAATGCGTCAATTTAGCAAAAATGCCCATATATCGCAAAAAAAAAATTTGCGCTCGCATGAGGTGCTTTTTCAGGCAATGCAAAAAAGGAATAATTCGCAAAACTGCAATGGCGCAAAAGCTTACGTTTTAGTTTCATAACATTGGCTAATGGAAACGCTGTCATTTCGCAATACTTTTTTATTGACATTTATAAAATATCGCCAAAGTTTTGCGCAAATCTGTAATGGAAACGTGCTTAGTAATCTGTTGTGACACATTAAAATCAATCAAATCAATAATATTACTGAATATTAACCCCCGGTTTCGCAGACAAGCCTTAAGCCTAGTCCCTGACTACAATGTAAGTCTGAGCTGTTTCAACTGAAAGAAACTTGCACTGATTGATCTTGAAATATTGTCAGTGCCCTTGTTTTGTCTCAAGATGCACACCAGTAATGTTTTTTCTAAGGCACGTTTATAAAAATTACTTTAAAATCCTAACTGAACTATGGCCTAGTCCTGGCTTAAGCTAAACCCTGTATGTGAAACCGGGCCCAAATGTTTTTTAAACCCTTAACTAAGAAAAAAAAAAAAAACCTTGAGCGAAACCAGGCTCAGGCAGGGACTAGTTCTCCTCTGGGGAACTGGATGTCAGAGAGCAGATGCGTCCCCTCACTAAATCTAATAGAGACGTGGTCCAGAGCTGGGGGGCTGGGTGTGTATGTATATCGGGGCGGTTCCGGCTGTCACTGCGCTTGTCTTGAGAGGAGCGTGTGCTCTCTCTACTCCCCTTATTAGTGGGCTCCATGTGTCACTGGTGTCAGTGGTTAATCCCAGTCCCCCCAGAGAATCCCACCCTCCTAAAACCAGTCGCCCCACTTTGACAGATGGGACTTTCTTCTGCATACTAATGACAGATGGATTCGAAAGGCGTGATTTTTCTGTAGTTCTGCTTGTAGAGGATGATGGAGAAGAGTGATCCAATCATTGACTAAAGAAAGAATCAAAAAGTAGAAATATAAATTAAAGCTAAAGAACTGAAAATAACATTATTTATATAGTTATTTTAATATAATTGATCCTTTATTTTAAAATAATGTATTTTAATATAATTATTATACATTGTTGTTCAAATAAATAATTTTAATGTAAATATAATTATATATAATTATATATTTGATTTATTACATAAATGTATATAAATAATAAATAATCAAAGGTAAAGTACTGAAAATAACATTGTCAATTAAGTTATGTTTTATATAGTTATTTTAAATTTAAATTATTTATTTTAAAATAATGTATTTTAATGTAATATGTATATATATATATATATATATATATATATATATATATATATATATA